TATATATATATTTTAAATCATTGCTTTTCAGGTAGACGTTTTGGATAAGTGCTTTTTCGAGCAAAAACCGGAAGAGCAGGAATAAGGAGAAAATCGAAATTGAAATAAGAATAAAAAGCAAAGATTGACTCTACGAACGATAGATCTAACTACCTTATTAAACCACACGTCTGTCTTCAAACGACATCCCACAATATCAGCACTCAGCTCTCATCTCTCAATTCAACAGATGCAAAATGTTTCTTGTGAAATCAACATCTTTATACGTTCACATTTCTTTGTTCTGCTCAATTATTTTCATTCACAAAGTCAACTCGCAATTTTCTCAATGTAAGTTATTTTGAAAATAAAACTTTATTTTAGAGCCAAACTAGAGAAAATAAATCGATTTCTAGGAGTGTTCATTTGATGCAATAATGATTTATGGAAAATATTTGACGCATTTGTGAATTTCATGATTTAGCTATGTGGTATAAGTTCATTGCCAGTTTCAAGCGTCATATGCATATTTTTTTGAATAAGTTGAATGAACATCACTGGAATTCATACAGCACATGAATCATGATTATGCCAAATTTTAATTTCATTTCAAATTCCATCGCGTATTTGAAACACTCGTAGACAATCGCTCGCGACAGTAACAGATCGCTCACAACTAATTCTTTCTCAAAACCTGAACAACTAAAATTGAAATGCGCCACGGATTCGGTTTTTCCTATTATTTTGGATGATAAGTTCGGAATACCATATTTAATTTAATGTTTGATTAAGTGAATATTAAGTGAAAACTTATGCTTCGGATGAGTCATAAGCGTAAGAACCAAAAAGTATTTTTTGGTTACTGAAACTGAGATTAGTAATTTGATGTTGCGCGATTTCCATTTGGATGCGAGTTTCTTTTAGCTATGAGTGTTATTTTAATTATCAAAAACATTTCATATGTGAAATCGACTTCAATATCTAAGTAGTGTTACTTTAACAATATTGCTATATTCTTTTGTTTAGCGAATAGCTCATCGTCAGAAATAGAGACGAATGCTGGTTTTGTGACAAGAATCAACCAGAAAGGATTGGATTTGATGGCAGATTTTTTGAGTGAACGAGTTGGCAGGATTATGAATCACGGCGAAGTTTTTTTCAATTACTCAGGACAACTCTCTGAGCAAGTGAATATAATTGGTTTATTTATTTTAATTTGAACTGTTAACTGAGTATAAACTGAAACTATCATGACTGTCAAATTTTGAATCTATGAAGAACAGTGAATTGATGTGATAGATCTCTCGTAATGAACCTAAACATCAAATTCTTATACAGAAACGTCTCAGAATTAGTCTTCAAATTTCATACAGCTAAAAATCATTACTTGGCCGAATTGTGTACAATTTAATGGATGTTCCACGATTCGATATATATTAAGCTTTATAGGTATCATTTGGAATGATCTCATCTAGGATCATTCACTTCGATAGAGCATCGTTTAAATCACAGTTGTTTGCATCGCCCACTGACAAACAGCTCATCTGGAGGGTTCGCTTAATTTGATTCTGTTCAGTTACCTTTTTTTCTGTTCAGATGCATGTTTCACTTGTTTGCTCACTTTCAACTGACAAGTCGGTTTCGTATTGCCAGATATGAATAAGTCGGTTTTAAGGGATCCGATTTCTCGACGTCTATTGAGACCATCTTCAACGTGCTCAGTAGTGGGGTTGAAATTTTTGGCAATTCAGTTTTGAATGTTGACAGGTAATAACATCAGTATTCTAATTATCAGTGTTATTCTTTGATATTCATTATTCTTTTATAATCAAAGATCAAACCAATTGAATTTCACCGGTTTCATTCAAATGCTCCACTAGTTTTGTATTGTGCTATTGTCATTACAGGGCTGTGATAAAAATCCATCTGACAACAGCCATAAATGAAGATGGACATTTAAAAACGGATTTATTCGAATGCTTTGTTGATCCAGAATCGGTAAAGATGAATTTTAGTGAAACCGATTCAATCGTGTTGACTAATTATATCGATTATATCAATGATTATGCACGCTCTCAAATTCAGGAGGTTTACTCTTTTCGATCTTCATTCGCTCAACATGATCTTTTTTCGATCATGTTCAATGCTTCTGAATTTATGCTATTGTCATATCCATGTGATGGTGCATGGACAGCGGCACTCATAAGGTTTCTTTATCACACACGTATGTGGCTCTCTTCGGGTGACATTCTTTCAAAATATGTCAGCCGCGATGTGTTTTCGATGTAGTTCTCTATGCATAGTAAGTCAGCAATCCAGTTCTAAAAATTAGATTGAAGTTTGGTAGTGGCATTCTCACCATCTTGATACCTCTTTTATGTTAATGACCGATCGGCATTAGTTAGGATTCACAGACAGCGATTGTTAGTCGTCACTGATTGCGTGGAGGTGTGAAGAGATGTATCAGTTCTTTACAGTTTTCTGATATATTCCTTATCACAACTCGCAGATCTGGGCTTAATGAGCTGGAGCAGTTGGTGTATTTCTCAAGATGCATTCCTCAAGAGATGTATTTTCCCTGAATATCTACAAGTGTCCGTTTTCAGAGGGGTCCATTCAAGCGCACAATTATTAAGAGGGAGGGAGAAAGGAGGTAATGGAAGTCAGCCATCTTATAGTTATCACAATCGTAATAATCAGGCGATGGTTGCAATTAATTATTCTCAGATGCGAATATTATTCACGAGACGATTTCTTTTTCAGATTCTTTGTTCAACTTTCGACACGCATCTCGTACCAGTTATATCGAATCGTCTTATGAATACACCAATGAGCGCTGCACTTTTTGATCAGTATTTTCTTAACTATGCTCTTCTAGAAACACCGCGATACACGAACAATTTCGTCGAATTGAAGCATCGTGGCAATTCGTTTGGTATTCTAAGGCAGGGTAACATTGTTTAATGTTATTTTAGTGACATTATGAGTGGAACATCAGAATATTGCACTGATCAGTATTGGTCAATAACGTCGTGGTCAATAACAACTTTGCTCTTCATTAGCCAAACTGGAAATTTTTCATGCGGCTGAAAACGGTTCAATCTTACAATTAGCAGTATTAAGAGAATTTTACAAGTTTCATTGTCAGGTCGCAATCGACTGAATGATTTTCGACTACCATTTCGGCCTGTATCATTCCCGGTACCATCCAAATCACATGGAATGGTTGACTTTTACATGTCAAATTATACGTTGTCAAGTTTATTGTATTGGATGGATCAATACAAACAATTTAATTATGAAATTAGTAAAAAATCGATTAACAGTTCCACGATAGTTGGTTATTTGAAGAGTGAATGTGGAAGCGCAGAGGTTTGTGCCGGAACTCTTTTCCCAGGTTCGTTGAGAATTTACTTTTCATTTGCCGTATTGCACTTATTGACTGGTATCTTTCAGTCCTATTATCTAGTCATAGATTTGATTCGTTCAACTTTTGTATTCAACATTATTCTTCCTGAAAGCCGTTGCTTGAATTCTTTCACCTTTTGAGATTGTGTTACGAGTCAAATGCTTGGTAAATTTGAGTATAAAGGGATAGATCTATTACTACCACCATAACATCTATTACTATCATTCGTTCAATTTTTGTTATTAAACGAGTAGGTGTTATGAATAAAACTGATTGATATTTATAGCATTAGCTGCGAAATATCCGAACGGAATTGTGCAAATACGAACGCATACTATCACATATCCACGTGTAAGATTAGATGAAGGCAAAGCTTTTATCACAATGGATAGTCGTGTAGAGGCTTCAGTTCAGGTTCATGTTTGATTTCAGTTGCTTCTTTGAAATGTTGCTGATATGATCAATGGGTGATTGGTTATGCTATATGTGCGATTATGTTGTCATGATGGGTTTTCATTTAATTGCAGCAACCGAATCGAATTGAACGCTTCCTAACAGCGAGTATGTCAGTGGAAATGAACCTGAAGAAGGTGACGTTCAATGATTACACACTCAAAGGAGAGATGAGAATTAATAAATTTCGTATTTTCGATGTTAACAGTATGGTTGATGGCATTGATGCAACAAGTCTTGAATTCCTTGTCAGTGCTCTTAACGAACTTGTCATCGGCGATCAAATAGCTAAGCGATTACAGCGTGGTTCGTTCTTTTGATTCACTCATAACAAAGACATAATCCGATAACCTGACTGATTACTGACTATATTCGGTACTTCTATAAAAAGTCTGGTATTTGATAGATACCGCTGAAAGACGATTGCTGCTTTCAAATCCTTTTAGAACGCCTCTGTTGATTTTGGTTCATTGTGAGGTTTGAAAATGGCAATGTTATATTTGGATGTGATTTGAATGAATCACTGTCTGTGTTCAGGTGTAAAGTTTCCGATAATATTCGACTTTACTCAACGCTCGTCAGAAGTCACATTCGAGAGGAATAGGATACGAATATCGGTTGATTATTGTTTCGATGCAAATTGCAACGACATTGCTGAGAATCAGGATAACATTGATTACTATGACAATATACAATCACTGTAACATCTTTCTATCAACAAATCCTGTTCAACTTTTACCTTCATTTACGTTAACGAGTATATATATCATATATGTATTATATCTATACTCCGTTAACGTTCTAATTTCACAGCGTAGTTTTCATCTCTGTACCTCAAAAATATCTGGAATATTGCTGATTGAAAATAACTCTGTTGATTCATTTGGGCACTAATTTGCTTAAAAATATATTATTTACTTTGATATTCAAACGGAACATGTTAAAAAATTACTGTGTTATGGCTACTTTCATCAAAATATCGAATCTGTTTTCACGGAATGTGTTTATCGAAAAAAANAAAAAAAGAGAAACTTTCATCATATTCACTTGTTTAACGACCCAAATTTCGTCTAGTTTGCCTTGATCAGACATTATCTTGATAGTTATATTTTTATTTGATTTCTTATGGATCAGTGGAACATTGTGAACGTTAGCGACTTTGATGAGAGGTTTTTTGCAAAATGTAAAGTTGTAGTGGATTATCTAAAGGGAGCAAGCCTAGGCTGTCTACAATTTTATTATCGTTTTCCTACCAGTTACTTCATTTGTCGGGTAAAGAATGGAACGCGACTAGACATGGTTTGTGACAATGCGATGTGAAAAAACATCGGTTGTACAGATAAATGTTAATAAGATGTAGTTATTTGTTGCTTTCAAAGGTTTGTTTGTATATATTTAGTGAATGTGTTCGAGATGGCTGTTGTGATATAAGGGTCATGCCTTCTGATACGTTTCTTCATTATAATTTTATTTTGCATTGATAAATGCTGCTGCATTCACTCAAAACTTCATGCACTCACTGATTGTTTATTACGTTTGTAGTTTACATAGAATCGTTTAAAAGTTTTTGCTGGTGAATCTATTCGTTCAACTGAATATTCGTCATCTTTGGATTCGTTGTAATTGCGAAGTTTCAAGATCAACTTAGAATCCAGAATTCAACGCTTGAAACTTCAAGACGTACCGTCAAAAATGCGCAGTGAACCATGAAAGCAGAAATGTTAGCCTGCAAGCCAGAACCATCTTGTCGGTTTATCATTAGGCATGCGTTTGCTTTAAATTTCAGAATGAAACTTTCGTAAGTTCTGACGCGGTAATGTTTGCATATTCAAACTCGTTAGCGGAATGTAAAAGATGAACTCTTCATTTTGCATATGTCAATGAATTAATTCTTTGAATTGGAAACAATTACTCCTTACAATTAGAAAGAATGACATAAATTTCTCGGCGATCTTTCTGCGGCTTATGAGTGTGCACCTTGTTCAGAGTGTGCGTATGGTTACGATTGATTTCTGATCAGAGAGAACGAATACGTTCTCTTCACTTGGAATCTCTGCCAAAATGAATGACAACGAAATGAAAATTCATAAAAATAAGGCATTAAAGATGTTGCATGCCAGCCTACAATTAATCGTTCCATTAAACAATGCTGCTCAAATTCAGGCGCTTTCGCACTGAATGTTGTTATGACTGATTTAATAAAATGCCACAAAAGAGCCCTAATTCAATATATAGAGCATGTATTCATGAATTGTATTCCTGAAAAGTAATAATCAAAGTAGCAAGATTGCATTTCAGTGTGGACGTGTTTAATCTCGAAAACAACTATGATACTTATTGCACTTAGCAATCAAATTGATTGAACCAACTGGAGATTTTCTGAAACATATAAGTGATTTCTTGAATAAGCCATTAATTTTATTAAAGTGCTTTGATTGACTTTAGCGATAGTGTTCGAATAAATTAATTATTTTGAATTTAAATAAATTGAGAATTTCTTTGAGGATTTAATAATCGCATGAAGCATTCATAAAAGCTTTTATATGAAATAAATAATGCGATTGCTTGTATCGAAGAATTACGATAGTTGCGAGACTACCGTAAGTTATCGAGATTTATTTGATTTCGTCAACAGATCAATTATCGTTTTATTGTATGAGTTCGAACACGAAGTATGTCGTTCACATGGAATAAGCGATATTCATTTGGAGAACCACTGATTACAGTGATAGATGGATGGAGTCGGTGCAACAAGTACAAAAATGCACGATTTTAAAGTTACGCACATAAAGTAATTCATCCGCCTCCAATTAATTAACGGCATTGAAATCCAGCATTAAGATATGCTTATGGCAATGAACTAGGTGCTATAACAACTGCAAGTTACCTTATCAACGATATGAATTCGCAGTAATAAGCAACTAATTACACGACGAGAGATGCATAGAGCGAACGGATGTATCATGGGCAACACACAGTCATAAATAGTATATCAAGGAGTGATATAGAGGTTGAATCAAGCATTCATTGGCAATTCTGAAAAAGCGGTATAAATTGTAAGCATTTAATTGAATCGGACACTCCATACGAGTGTCTGCTTATTGCACAAGCTGCTTATTTCCTCATATTCACATTCCCAAACACCTTCGAACATAACTCATATAATTGCACTCACTAATTTATATCGTCACAGCGAATGTCGAATGACTGTTCGGATGTCTACATCACACCACCATGGCGACAGAACTCTCGAGGTAAATGAAGGTTTATCTGTGAAGTTGCAATTTCTTCCCAGTTGACATTCCATAAGTACAAAATATTACCTCATTCCCTCTTCAAAAAATCAGTTTCGATGCATTCAACTGAATACCAAATACTTTATTGAATAGTTATGTTCAGCGATTAACTTTTCGACAAATATTAGCATTGCATAACTAATTTCAGNCAGTCTCAATCTTATAGAAGCAATTATCATTCCAACTAGGTTTTATTCATTTGTTGTTCGACTTTGGATATACAGAACATGTCTGAAACCCTCTGGATATATAGAACAAGATTCTGGATATATATCCTCAGCAAAGCGATAATAATATTATCACTTTAATTTCAAATGAAGCTCACATCCACCTGTTTTCAGTCGATGAAGCTGAAGGTCATTATGAATTTATACTCGTAGATATGCGATGAAAAGTTTTGGAATAGATTCTTTAAGTAGTATTATCACAAAAATCAGCAGCGTGAAAAAAAGGACCGATACGGTGCTTTGCATGCTTCAGCTAGAAATAACGACTCATTAAATAGATGCTTCGAACTAGTCTGAGTACTGATTCGTGAGAATTCGATCGTGACGAATGAATGAAATCACAGTGATACAACTAATAATAATGATATTACTGATGAGGTTGCTTTTTCGGCTTACTTTCATCATCATTATGGCGGAAGCGTTCGTTTTATTAGTGCAAAAACCTCGCTGAGAATTGTCGAACAGTAATAGTTTCATTCCCTGACTAAAAACAGGTAACTAAATAAAATTACGAAAGTTTTCGAATCCCTAAATCATGCTTAAAAACTTCAATATGGATTGGATCCTATCAGATTAATTTCAATCATCATGTTGCCGAATATATATANATATATATAATTTCTAGGTTTTTTAACCAACGGAACTAAACAACCTTGCTTTGTTACATTCAGATTTACAAAAAGCAGCGTTCGAAGACTATTTGAGAATCGCAGTATAGACAAAGTCGAATCTAGAAATAAATCTTATAGTGAATGTGTGTCATATCAATCACTTGAAATGACAAAAACGATATTATTTATGCGAACTACATTTGATATTTGTTTGATAAAAATTCATTCAAAACATCACTAGACAAAATGTGGTTGTGAAATTGATGCGATTGATTATTCTATAAATGTGAGACGTAACCGATCGTCACGAGATCACTGTATCTCTTCATCAGTTTCACTCTCTTAAAAGTGCTATTGCTATTTGATAACATCATTTGATGTTCTCACTATCATCGTCGAGCGATATGCGGCCGTTTATTGCTTGATTTCGGCGCTGATCGATTCAAACTTCTATTTATGGACCAGTACTGTAGCAAATTTGAACGCTTCATTCAAAAGCATCGTTGACTTCAATACCAAATGATGCTTCGAAATTTATTTCTGTATAAATATCTATCGATAGCAATCTGTTGTACTAGTTAAAAACGATTGTAAATGTAATCTTTCTAACTCTCAAATTAACCATGCTCACATATTTGCCACGAAATACTGACAATTACGTAACAATAAAGAAGACGCTCAGAAGTTTCAGTAGTTTCTGCAGCCGTCTTTTAGAATTCAGAAAATGATCACTGCGATTTTGATGCGAGAACATATCGTTCTTGAATTTATCATCAAACAAATCTACCTTATAGTTCCACTAAAAAGTATTGTGAATATCTANTATCTACCAACAGTGAGGTGTGTTTCATCGTGAAAATGACAGATATTGGTATTTCTCATTCTCATAACTTCTATTCAACTGACTTCGTCACACTCTTCAACCAAAGAAAGTGATAATTATAAACGAAATGCACTTGTAGCGTAATATTGCTAAAATGATATTGTAACTTGATTTGATTGAATCTGTTGAATTGATCGTTTCAAATTGTCAACATTCGACCACTGCCCAACTCTAATGAAATTGGTTCAATCAAATGTCGAATTTAAGCAAAAAATCAAAACCTCGAAACATGTCACTCGAATTATTCTCTCTGTGATTTGTTATACCTTAAGTTGAAATGGAATAAATTGCGATATTGTAGAACAAGAGTTATTGAAACTGAATTTAAACAAATGCGAGATAAACGATAAATGAGTTTTGCGTAGAGAATTAAAGTGAGTTTGATCGATGTGGAGGTGCATGCCATCTCAAAATCAAATTTATGCCAGTTGATTGCATTAGTTCATGAATTAGTTGATTACAATTATCAGCTAGAAATCGATGAGGCACCTTATTAAATAACTAAACTTCTCATTACTTAAACTGCTTCATTGAAGGACTGCTTGCTTAAAGGTGAAAATGGAAAGTTTATCTAATGTTGACTTAAGTGCAAAAGATTTTCTGAAAGTTTGTTGGCAATGAAAACGAAGAACTTGAATGAACGTTGCCATGACAATCGCAAGTATTCAGCATCATTGTTCAATCTCCTCATCTCGTTTCAATTAATTACCTTTAAGCATTTTATCAAACAACATTTCTCATGTCTGAGACGTGCATAGTCCCTGAAGTTACTGTCACTTTGCGATATTCGACACCTTTAATTAAATCTATTTGAACGCATATTGATCAGATATCTTGCTGATATTTGTTTCAGTTATATTTCATGCTCTCGTTTCAATGCCTGTCGATCATTATGAATTGTTAGGTTTCAGTCCAACTTTCATCTTCAACACTATTTCACCTCAACTGCAAAAACAAGGAGACGATCAAACCACTGTGCCAACAAAATATATGGACATAATTCATCTTTTTTCGCATTAACCAATTTCTCGTGGACGTCGCTTGAAAAATTCGTCAATCTTCACCCTAACAAAACAAGGAAATGATCAAATAGCAAATGCTTGAACAAATAGCAAATCCGAATCCCTCATTTAATTTATTTATGTCATCATCCGATGCGCTCATTTTGCCAAATTCATTAAAATTTTGTGAGAGTATTTCTCACAATTCTTATTCGCTCCACTTTTTATTTTTCATCGCTTACATCCAATCACATATGACACTATAATAATATCATCTAGAACATTAATTCTCACTTACAACCAAGCGAACAATTTGCTTGAATCTTAAAATCTAACCGATAACGGTTTGATACATACATTCATCATGCCACATCAATAAATGAACGATGAATACTATTCGTCTTTATGATTGAAATGAATGGGTAAGCGTCAATAATAATGATGCAAACACGAATTTGCATAATTCTATTAGTTCGATGTGCATAGCTAACACCAATCCGTCCTAATATGATGCAATTACACGTATTACATGTGATGATAACTCAGCAATTGCCACTATATCATTCCATAATACATTTTATCGCATTTTTTCATGGGTCGTTAACTAACCGCTCATTATTGCATCTTATTGGAAGTATCATCGACTTTTACGATGATCGGAAATAAATCGATGATTTATCGTTGAATGGTGAAACACATGATATTTATTTCATACAGAAATCAAGAATGCATCCGAAGTAAAAATCAGTTTGTGAATGTAGCAATTCATGAGTGTGGTGCAATAGGTGTTGTTTCTGTTCTTTCACAAATATTCCATCAACCGTGATCGAATGTTTTCGTCGTACGTTTCTCATCCATCTATTTCATCGCGTCATCACAAACAACCAGTAATCAACCAACCATCCAGCATTAATTCATCACAATAATTATATTAACACTAATAATAATGATAATAATAATTATTATTATTATAATTATTATTATTATTATCATCATTATTATTATCACTATTATTATAATCATTAACATCATTATCGAATACATGAAAGTATATCACATTCACATTCACCACATTCGAATGAACAGCAACAGCCACAGCAAATCAAACCATCCCCTAAACAAACGAGACCCATCCCTATGATTATTTCTTTCTGTGGTCCGCCGTCACTTTACAAAAATCAAAAATTTCTTCACGCGTCTTTTGTTCGATCCTTAGCTGCATCATTCATACCGTTGCTGTTTGCCATCGCTATGTGCATTCCCATTTGCCATGCTTCTTCTTACTAATAGTTACTGTTAAAAACATTCACGCGCATACCATAAATGACTATCGCCATTGAAACGTACATATGATATTCGTTGTTACAATAATGACAACAATGCCGTCTGTCATTCATGAAATAAGTTTCATCGCTCATTCGAATAACTAACTCTATTTGGCTGCATAAAAGTCAACATTTAGTGGCTGCTGTATTTTGATGACAGAACCAATCTCTCACAAACCCAACAACCACTTTAATGAACCATCCATCCCAGTTCATTCTTCTTTGACAGAATATAAATTCAAAACAACGAAAAAAACGAAATGATCGTAGAAAGATGCAACGTAACCAAATCCCTCGTCACCAATTAAATCGCCAATTATTACTTATACCGAATTCCTCAGATGAATCGCTTTCAAAGTATCGTTCATTGAAACACTTGTCATTCCTTTCAAATTGTCATTCTTCGTTAAATGCACTAACTAATTGAATTGACCGTTACCGTTCTCAGTTTCTTATTTCTTCTTCGATGATCTCTGAAAGATTCATTTTCACTTCTCATAAACGATCTTTGGCACACGTGATTCAGAACCACTTCAAACACCAACTTCGTGAAAATTCTCCAGAAATCATTCATAATAAATGTTTTGCACTGTACTGTTTCTTTCAGCTCATGTTCCCTGATCGTTACACAGTACTATTTTGCCTTAGGCGATTGCTCGTTGTTTTGTTTTTCTCTCTTAACGATCACCATCAGATGTATTTTGTCAATTCGCAATGTTCTACACATCCATCCTTATCTTTTTGCATTCTTGATNGCCATCTTTTCAATGCTCCCTTCTCCTTCAATGAATGGTGTTAAGGCCATCATTTAAATGAACACATTTGAAAACAGTTTATATTTTACTACCCGTTTCAAATCAAACACTTATAAGTTAGTGATTAAAAACGAATTAATTAAGAAAACAAAAATTCGAACAATAAGTATTGCAACTCCCAACCAAAACGTTCACCGCCGTAGTTCATAGTTATCGCATCCATCAATTTATCATTTCATTTTTCGAACAATATCGGTCATTCTCGACGATCACGAGGTCATTCTTCATCAAAGACAAAATATCGTTTACGTCTAGCAATGAAATTTTCCAAAAACAAAGTTCACAAGTTTTGTTGCTGTGAATGATTGTTCATTTAATGCCAACAAAGTTCTGTTGTGGTGCAAACGAAACGTAATCGAAGGCCATCAATAATGCAGTTAAACATTATGAAACAATCGTAGTAGTCCAAGCGGAATTGTTTTCATCCTGTTGATGACAAAACACATTTATGAACTAATAGTTTGCATTCACGGTTGATCCAAAGAGCAAACCAAACTTCTGCAAATGTTCTAATTTACTTATCCATACATATAACACATTGCGAGTTTATGCCTCTCTCTTATCACCAATATTACAAATATCCCATTCTTCCTTCCTTGACATCCTTCTTTCCACGAACGTAACGGTGCCAGCGTAGGAAATCATCCGACTTTACGAAATTCTAACTTCGATGATTGATTTGGCAAGCATAGAGATGTAGGGCTAATCTCCCATATTCCTAAAATAATTCCTAGGGAGAGGGACTGAAAATAAGCCCAGAAATACACTCCGCTTGATCGGTTGAATATGATCGCTCAAAAAAGCTGTTTGAAGCAGCCGGCAGTAGCCGGCAATCTTTCGAGATCGATAACCGAATAGGTTCGTAGCAATCGGCTTATTGAACTTCCACGATCAAACGATGATGAATAGATTATGGCTCGAATTTATTTATTCATTTATTCGCTTGATTTCAAAAATTTATTCGTTCCATTTATGAAATAATTTTTTTCTTTGTGATTAAAACGATTGACGAGTATGATTGTGCTTATTGTCAATGCGGTCAATTACAATATAAATTATCGCCTTTTACGAATGCATTGCCACGTTAACATGCGATTGCTCATTTCACTTTTCTGTAAATGCTCAATTCATTCTCATGAATTATCAGGTGATATTCGAAAGATGCACAATAAATCAGCATATAAAAATTCGATTCTCTCAAATACCATTCCGTGGATATTTCAGGCCTTAAGAGTGGTTTGGGTAGAATGCCATTAAGGGGCAGCCATGGTGGTCCCGATTTTAGAGGAAGTCAATCGAGCATTAGGCGACGCAAAAGTATCACCGAGGAATATCCCAGACCGTCGGTGTTTGGAGGACGTAGGATTTTGGTCTTTTCTCTGGAATTTTTTAAATATTTCAATTATTGATCCGATTTATGATTTTGATCAATTTCAAACGAATGATGGAATTTATGCATGAAACAATTCGAATTTTTTCCATTATCAAACAACACTCTTCAGGAATTATCAATGAATGTGAAAGCAGATTCATTGCATTCGAAAATATCAAAACCGAGCACTGCAATGAAGAAGCCGATTCGAATTTTTTGGATGTTTTGATACTTGACGTTTATCGTATTGAACTTTTGAGGTTTAGATGTCATTATTTATTTTCACGATGGTAGTTAACATACTGAATTCGTTGTTTCAGAAGATCTACTGTTAGATCCATTGTTTGCGATACAAACCCTTCAAGTTGGTAACCATCCTGAAAGTTAGTCATTGCTTTCCATTCTGATTCTATTCAGTCTACCGTAGTTTCGAAAGCGACTAAATTCACTAAACTCTTTTTTTTTCACCGATCAAATAATACAGTCGGAAACCACCACATAATTAATTGATAACTGAGTGTTCTCTTTCAAAAACCGTACTTAATCAATTAAAAAACCGTACTTGATCAATAGAGATAGTAAATCAGTCATCAGTTACCTGCAATAAAAAAACCACGTGTCCAGTTGTTCCAAAAATAACAAGCTCATGACACATCCTGTTATTCTTATTGTCAAACGTCCGATAAAAGCTAAGCAATTTATTATAACATTCTCAATGAGAACATGCGAGTAAACTGAAAGGAAGAGTAAAACACTTCAATCATATGAAATATTGTATCCGGGGTCAAAGTACTTGTTACATACACTTCAGTACACAAGAAGTACAAAGATGTTTAAATTCTTGGTGAGACTTCATCGTTCGATTAACACTCACTATCAGATACAAATTCATAGTTCATACAAAATTATAAAAATTCATAGTTGCTCATTTAAAAAAATTCATAGTTTTTGAAACAATATCTGTGGCAACCATATATGATAGCATTGAGTGTGTACATTATGCCGTTTACTATATTTCCACCGAACGATTGCCTTCCTTGACTCGCTGTAGTACAGCTGGATGCATTTATTACATAACAGATTGAACCGTAATATAATCAGCGTCCACTTCTTCTTCATATGAATAATGAGGTCACGCGCTGAATCTACACACTAGAACAGACCTTCATTCAAGGTTTTGAGCAGAATGATGATCAAAGTCCGAATCAAGATAATTGCTCTATTAAGGTCCCATTCACAATGTGCGTCAAGTGCTTGAAGCAAATCGAGACGATAATCCATTACTGTATACGGAAATGCTTGAGATTGATACATCTGATGATGATGATGACTTACACTGGAAACAAGTATCTCGGTTAGTGACCATTTCAGTCAGTATTTTTTAGAGACGTGCAAAGCAGAAGTTCGACTAGAATTCAAGTAAGCTGAAAATGAACTGGAAGGTTTTTTTCGATTGAGATGGATTCTTCGTAAAAACATTAGAAAATGATCAGTTGGTAGATGCATTCAATCTGCTTCAATCGATTTACTTCTTATGCAATTGCTCATGGCACTCGATTGGCGACGAAAATTGTGAACATTCCGACAATTCAAACGTTTCATTATACGCATTTTTTCATTATCGTAGATGAATTGATCAGTTCATCGCATGGTTCAGGTGTGAGAGAGTTCAATTAATCATTGCGGTCTCGTGAACTTAACAAGTATTTCAACAGGTCTCTTTCTGCGAATGAGAAAAGTTTTTTGCTGAGATCTCATTCGTAATCAAAAACTCATTTGCTTTTGAAATATTATTTCATTCTTCAGCGGATTTTTTTAACTTTCTTTTTGCCGACGTTCCTTCGCCATTCGCCATCACGAGGTAACGCATCAAAAAAGCGATAATGTCTGCCATGAAAAACTGCTAAATTGTTCTGTGAATAATGATTTGTAGTTGGATAAAATATGAGCAATCAGTGGAAGGTGATGGAACAAGGTTCTCAAAGCCACACATTACTCTATTATCAGTGCTCGGCCTTTTACAACTCAAAAATTGCTTACGAAAGGGAGTGATTATTTTGGATGCAGAACTGAAAAATTTTAAAGAAATATCAGGTGTGCAATAATTTATTTATCAAGACATACTAATCGTTTTTGTTTATCATTTTTATCACTAAAGTCAATCGATCCGATGACATCTTCAGAGTGTTCGGCGTATAAATTTTTGTCAAGTCACCGATTGTTCATTTAGCAAAGAAATGTCCAACAATAAGTTCAAAGTCTCAGTTACCAAACAATGTTCACTAACGACCCCGCAGAGGTGGGGGAAGGGGGGGGGGGG